CCAGAGGCCCGTTGGGGCGAAGAGTTGGCTAAATATTCAGCGCCCGCTTACTATGTAAACAACTTGACATCACCGGTACTGTTCCAGGAGGCCATACAACACGTGCCCAAGAACTCGATTGTCATCGAAATAGCGCCGCACTGTTTGCTTCAGGCGATACTCAAGCGTAGTCTCGGATCCGATATCTCATACGTGGGTCTTATGAAGCGTAATAACAACGCCTCAAACCTAGATATGGCGCTATCGGCCATCGGAAAGCTATACGAGTTGGGACTCAACCCACGTCTCGACAAACTGTACCCCAAAGTGCAATACCCGGTGTCGCGCGGAACCCAATCGATCAGTCCAATGGTTCGTTGGGATCACTCGCAGAACTGGTTGGTCACACTGTATCCCGAATTCTTCAATCCCAGCAGTTCTTCCGATTACACCATTAAAGTGGATCTCCAGGAGAAGGCCGACGAGTACTACGCCGGCCATTGCATCGACGGTCGCGTCCTATTCCCGGCCACCGGGTATCTGATGCTCGCGTGGCAGATGTTGGCCAAAATGAAGGGCCAATTCTGGGACAAATTGCCCGTCGAGTTCGAGAACGTGACCCTTCATAGGGCGACCATTCTTCCAAAACAGGGACAGACAAAGTTTATCATCCGAATGATGGACAGCAGCGGCGAGTTCTCTGTCAGCGAAGGCGGCACTATTGCCGTCACCGGTAAGATCACTGTTCCCGAAGACGTTGAGCTCAGTCTACAGCAACTGTTGACCGACGGCTCGGTTCCCAATGAGAATCCATTGAAATTGGAGCCCAAAGACATCTACAAAGAGTTGCGAATCCGTGGTTACGATTACGGGCCGACATTCCAGGGACTGACCGAAGCCACTGCTGACGGACGTCATGGAAAGATTAAATACACGGGAAGTTGGGTGGCGTTCGCCGACGCTATGTTGCAGTTGGGAATTCTGGGCAAAACCACTCGCGGTCTGTACCTTCCGGTGCGCTTCCAGTCAATCCGATGCGACCCACGAGTCCTATTGGAAGCGGTCGAAGCGGCTGGAGATGAGCCGCAATTGCCCGTTGTTTGCGATCCGCGAATCAACGTTTGCATCGCTCAGGGATTGGAAATCCGTGGTCTGAAAGTGAATTTAGCGCCGCGAAGACAGGGCGCACAGAATCCCGCGCTCGAGAAATACACTTTCGTCTCATATAATAAGGATAAGTCTCTCGACGAACGCGAGGCACACGATCTGAACGAATACATTGAGGTCTGCTCTTCGTTGGCCCGCAAAGTGTTGGAAGTCTCGGGAAAAACTTCGGCACAAATTAAGTCTCATATAATAAGGATAAGTCTCTCGACGAACGCGAGGCACACGATCTGAACGAATACATTGAGGTCTGCTCTTCGTTGGCCCGCAAAGTGTTGGAAGTCTCGGGAAAAACTTCGGCACAAATTAAAGAGATTCTCAACGACTATAAAGAGGCGAAAGACAGTGTTGTCAAAGACTATTTGGTCTCTCCTCGTGAGGAGCACACAATACTACGAGTCCTCAAAGACTTGATTTCACTCGACAAGAAAGTGAGCCTTAAAGACAATGTGAAGCGAGTGCTCAGCCATTACGGCGATGAGCTCTCGAAGGACTTGATCGCCAATGTCTTCACCAGAGAGTCACTGCTTCGACCGGCGCTGGATATTGTGATCGAGAATCTCTCGTCACTCAAACTGAATATTCTTGAAGTCAACTCCAGTCCATTGATTCTTCACCAACAGATCACTGACCTGATCAACACTTCCGGTTATACCCTCGGAGTGAACTATACGTTAGCGCATCCGTCGCCCAAAGACCTGACCGTAGACTTAGGCGAAACCCGAATCAGCGAATGGAATGTCGCCAAATCTAATGTCTCTTTGGACGCCTCGACCGTCGACTTAGTCGTCTACAAAGACATCTACTCGTCGGCCAACACATCCAATGGCGTCAATATTGAGGCGTTAACCGAATCCCTGTATTCGGTGACCAAAGACAATGGATTTGTTATCGCACTCTTGCGAACTCATTTCACACCCGCCGAGCGCTTTGTCTACAAAGTCGGTGAACTCAATGTCCCGAACACTAAGGCCTCGGAGTTCATAACCAAAGCCGAAAAAGTTGGCTTCTCTGTGATCAGCAATCAGACCGATTCGTTGACCTCATCGGTGGTTGTCTTGAGAAAAGTGGTCACAAAACAAGCGGCCGACCAGACCATTGTCAACGTTACCGCCTCTAAGTACGACTCGTGGGTCGAAACACTCAAGAGTAAGATTCAAGAGCACCAAAACAAACAGAGCGGACAAAACGTGTGGCTCGTGGCCAACGACACGGTAACTAACGGTGTGGTTGGACTCGTGAAGTGCCTGCGACAAGAGCCGGGAGGCGATAAGATTCGCTGCATATTCAACGCCAGCAAAACAGCCAAAGCCAGAGCCGATTTACCGCCGGTTGCTTTCGACAAAACCATTTATTCAGATCTTCTCAAAAAGGATCTCGTGATGAATGTCTACAGAGACGGCAAGTTTGGTTCGTTCAGACATTTCGATTTGAGTGACGACCGCCAGAACGAGTCCATAGACACCGAACACGCGTACCTCAATGTGACCACAAGAGGCGATCTGTCGAGTCTGCGCTGGTATGAGGCGCAGCACAAGTACTGGCAATCGCTGCCCACCGCCCACAAGAACCCCAACGAAGTG